CTTTCCGCTTTTTTTTTTTACCCCGCCCCTTTCCGCTTTTTTTTTTCTACCCCACTTTTTTCTAGAGTCCTCATAATTCATTGTATAATAAACAATAATGCTGTCTTTTTGGTAGGCTGGAACCCGTTCCTTCCACAGTAGAGACACCATGATACGTAACTACATGTAGCCGCTGCCTCAGAAATACAAAGTTCAATCTAACATTTTTTGCCATTCTGATTTACCAAGACCATGAGATCAAAAGCCAATAAATTTTCTACCTGCTCTATCAAAATCCTATGATTATGTGGAGTCGTTATTAAAAAATTCAAAGAAATGTATTGGAAAAAGCTTGGCATGGTGTGAAACTCAAAATCTTTTACGTCAAATTTCTAGATCTAGGTACTAAGGAGATAGAACTTCGTAATTCTGAGGTAGCGTAGTATTGTCCCGCTAAGCTGCTGAGGTTCACCGGGCGAAAAAAAGCGAACACATGTTACCAAAACTCTTATAATATAATCATTTCAGCAAGGACCAACGAATATGCTAAAACGGAATTTTATTATTACAAAGTTTAATTGTATTGCAATTAAAATGCAACTGTTTTACACCCCTTTCAAAAATAATTTAAATCTAATCTGATCATTTGGTAAGCAGGCTACTTCAGCTCTGTCTCTTAGGGCTGAAAGGAGCACGACCACCCAGCAGTCTGACCGAGATACTACAAAAAAAACCTTTTCCAAAATTAGAACCGTACTCATACCTATCAGGGCAAATCCGAGGGGTCTGATCATTAAAACCACAGCCGACGCCGGTAAATATAAAATACGAAGTAAAAAAGGAAATATAATTATAATAAAAAACCCTCTTAAAATGGCAGTAACGTTCCATTCATCTAATACGATTTCTTCTTTAATAGATACATACCCGTCACAATTTTCTATACACTTTACAGGGTGGTCCCAAAAAAATGTGCAACTTTTTTTTCTAAATATCTCGCTCAACATACTTACTAGAATGTTATAATTTGGAGCAGATATTTTTTATAATTCATATAAAAATGGAAAAAAAATTAAGACTACGAAAAAAAAACCCGCTCAAAAGTGTAAAGGAAATTCATGTTTTGATCCATGTAAAAATTGTACGTTTTCGTGAACAATAAACATAAGGCCAGATATGATCATATCCTTTATAAACATAATTATTTCCCTTTACTCACCTGGTCCAGCAGTAAGCCCACGATAAGAACGATAATTATTCCAGGTAAAAAGAAGACCAGGTGACAAAGTCGCCCCTGCACGCGCACAGTATCAAACTGCCTACATAGGCGGGGGTCCACCCCAGGTTGTAGCAGAAAAAGGTAGCGCGGCCCGGGCCCCGGTCTCCGCGCGCTCTGGCGAGATGGTGCAAGCGGCAAGACAATTCTCGCAGGCGTTTACAAGTCACAGCTCTTTGGAGAACTCTCTCTGTGTGGCCATAGAGAGG